TATTCTTTGAAGTTTTACTTGATTGCGAAGTACCTGAACTTTTACCAGCACTTGAAACGCTTGTAAAAGAATATTTTGAAGCATTATCACCGATAAATATGACTCCTCTTTCCGATAAAAAGTCTTCTATAGAGTCGTTGGAGAAGTATGCTTGAGCTCCTTGCTCGATAGAGTCTCCCTTTTTCTCCGATTTGTATATGCCGAAACGTTTGTTACCCCTTTTCTCATAGCCTGTCAAATTGGACCCGACATCATAGTTATAACTGTGACATCGGATCAGTTTCTCAGAGGAATCGCTCAATTCGTCTTGGTTGCTCAATCTGTTATCTGGTTTTTTTGTATTACTTTTAACACTTTTCGATCTTTTATCACGGATCTCTTCCTGAAAATTCACCTTTGTGTCTGTCGGTTTCCTACTGTCTACATTTAGATCCTTTCTTTCAATACCCTTTGTTTCGTCATCGTTTCTAACTTCTGGTATAGTTTCTGATCTTGGCAGTCTATGCCAGTCCCTTCTTGTTAGACATTTTGATAAAATATCATCCGACATGCTCAGTTTAATGTTATTTTTCCTTTCTTTCTGACAAGCCTTGTAGCATTTTATCTTTTTATCGATATAGTTTGAGGATTCGCTCAAATAGTGGTACTCTGTCGTTTCCGTGTCGATGTTACTGGTGCAGATCAGCGGTGTGGTCACTGACGCATCTTGCCTGTAGTTGAAAAATTTGTTTTCTACTTTCTTTTTCTTTTGGCATCCACAGTTCATTGTTAAACAGTAGATCAGGGTGAAGATCAGGCAGCATTGTAGGAGGACAATAGCGCTTAATACCATAATTGTGTATTTGTGCTGAGTCATGTAGTCCATGATGCAGTCTATCGTTGTATTCGCTGGCTTACAAGGCTTCGCGACAGCAACCCGCGATTCCTTCTTGACAGGTTGTTCCGAAGGTTTCACATCGTCTTGCCTCTTTGTATTGTAGTCATAATCACCCCCTTCTCCAGCAGGACCTGTTAAGTTCTTATCCATCATTTTTATGATAAGTATATCTTTAGCTTTCCTATTCTTGTCTCCAGTCAGAACTTTGATAAATTCAATGTCATCTTTGCTTATCGCTGGTTTACTGACACATTGGTTAGCGGTTGGATTGTATGCGACTTTGGGTATTTCTGATTTTATGTTCGAAATACAGATTGGAACTTCTACGCAACGTTTTTGAAGTACATTATAAAATGACCTTTTAGTATTGTAATGGGTGTCACAATTGACGGGCTTGCAGTCGTTCAGAGGATCTTCATCGACGTGCTTACAAAGTTTAGCGTCTTCAGGCAGCTTCGACTTTTGCAGTGTTGTATCAAACTTGATTTTGATCGTGTCCCTTATGAAATTTTTCGGTTTTGTTTTTGATTTATAGTCTACGTATATTGTACAGAATCCTTTTCGATCGTACGGGTCTAGGAGAGGTGCGATTAAATGGAGCGTTTTTGTTGTACCTTAAAAAAGAATACTGATTAATACAAGCTAGATAAATGACTACCCAGGCAGCTCAGGTACTGAAGTACAAGATTATCATAGACCTCTTCCAGGCTACGCTTTCTGTGACCATAGGCATCATCTTGAGCCAAAGTTCACATGTAAACAGCAGCTCATGTAGTGTAGATGTCCAGTCAACAAGGATGTAGCGAGGTTGACTGTCCAGGCGACACACGTACTTAGGTATCGTCTTGAGCTAATGTTCACATGTAAACAGCAGCTCATGTAGTGTAAAAGTCCAGTCATCAAGGATGAAGCGAGGTTGACTGTCCAGGCGACACACGTACTTGGGTATCGTCATGAGCTAATGTTCACATGTAAACAGCAGCTCATGTAGTGTAGATGTCCAGTCAACAAGGATGTAGCGAGGTTGACTGTCCAGGCGACACACGTACTTAGGTATCGTCATGAGCTAATGTACACATGTAAACTGCAGCTCATGTAGTGTAGATGTCCAGTCTACTCATGGTAGCGGTTGACGGACTGACTGACTCATGAGTATCATGAGTTCTATAGTGAGTAAAAGATCGTTACCTTCAGGTACACTATCAGTAGCGCTTCCAATGACTTCAATAATATTGCATTTCGCGTCATTCGCTTCCAAACAACATTCGTCAGGATGTATTTCAACGATGCAGTCATCTCCACTAGTATTGTTAATTTCAGCGAAGAACTTTAAACCAACTGAACAGGGAAAGATTTGATCGAGACCGGATTTCGTGACAATATTTTTACTAAAAACACACATTACTATGTTAAATAATATAAAACTTATGTAAAAATTCATCGGAAATATTCAATAATGTCATCGTTTTAGACGTCTTGCGTCACAGAGTGATATTTAGCAAATTGTGGCATTCCGTCATATTTGATGACCATTGACGAAAAATTTTGTAGAGTATTATTTTTATTTGAGAATAGAGTATGCCAGACAATATCTGTAGAAGTATAGTTTGATAGTAAACCTTTTTGGAGAAGTTAGATTTATATGGGAGAGCCATACTTCAGCACTGCTGTGTCGACTCGACCGGAGTAATACCACGGCGTCACAATACACCAGCGTGACACTACCACAGCGTTGTGTGTGCGTGAGTGAGGGGAGTGAAGACCTTATCCTGATATCCTCGATGTTCAAAAGAATTTATACGCCCCAATCATATAGATGGTTGGCAGGCCACAACTGTGCGCTTCTCACGTAGCTTTCTGCCTCGCACAGCAAACTGTGGGATGATCTGTTGTCGGCGGTATTTCCGAACCGATACGACCTTCAAACCTTTAAGAAAAGAGCGTTTTTAAAAGGCCAGTGATGCACTTGTAACGCCTCTGGTGTTTCACGTGTCTATGGGCGATGCTGATTGCTTACCATCAGGTACGTCTGGTCTTTTGCCGTAAAAAGAAAAAAAACAACTATTATTAATTTAAACACTGTTTATTGATTCTTATTATTATAAAATGGCATATTTTTGTTCGTTTTGTTTACAAAATCCAAATATAATTACAATAATATTATTATAATAAACATTTCATAAGAAAACGAAGATGGTAATAAACTGCGTTTATGTAAAAATAACTCGCGCTGTATGTCCGTAATGTAGCATGAGGTCTGTTTGTCCAATTAGAAGCTGTTCAAAATAGAATGTCCAATTATTGAACACAAGCTAATTCTCTATAGAAAGTAGAGGAAACCAGATCACGAGGCAGATCACCTATGCTCTGGACTGATCAATTCAAATCGGTAATAGGAAACCCAGTGTCAGACTGCGCCAGACAATCCACAAACAGGGAGAGATGGCGGGAGATCGTGAGGAAAGCTGTATCGGCCGCCAACACAAATATGGCCGCCTCAACATGACCACGACAGCTCTGCCAAGAGCGAAGTTACAGAGAAGAAAAGTATCCTCTATTGATGTCGTGTTAGCCCGAAGGGTTAAGACCTCTTCTCATGCATGAGGGTGCAGGTTCGAAACCTACCAACGACAAGCACCAATGTGACTTTTTCCGTGTTATATGTACTTTCTAAGATTATTTAGACACCACTGACAAACGGTGAAGGGAAAACGTCGTGAGGAAATCTGAAATCGCCAACCCGCATTGAGCAAGCGTGGTCAATAATGCTTAAACCTTTTCCGTGTGAGAAACGGCAGTGGTATTAGCAGTGGTCACTTTATAAGCTGTTCATGATGATGATGAATTCTATATTGAATAAAAAGACATCACGATACTTTGACGCCATGTGGTGAGCAGAAACAGGTGATTCTTGTGTAAGACCAATTTTTTCAGATCACACATTTTGGTCATGTATCATATTGTGGATATAATGACAGATATATACATAACATAACATCACGCCTTTTATCCCCGAAGGGGTAGGCAGAGGTGTACATTACGGCACTTAATACCACTGTAGGTACAATGTAACACCCACTTTTCACTATTTATTTTATGAGTCCCATGTAATAGGGGGTGAGCCTATTGCCGTATACCGGGCACAGTTCCAGACTCCGTGTTACTACTAAGATTTTTGAAAATGCCCAGTAATACTTTGCCCGACCCGGGAATCGAACCCGAGACCCTTTGCCCGGCAGTCTGGGCAAAAAATCGTCAACCTTTATCACATTATCTTAAAAACTAAATTAAATATGTCAAATGTCTTTACAAATGGGTTACAGGTTACAGTATATTTTTACTAATAGACGCTTTTAACTATGAAGAGTTTTGTTATTTTTATGCAAGCCTCCTTCAAATGCGACACTAGCGACATCTGGTAAAAGGTAAAAGGTAAAAGTAATCAGAAACCGTTATATATTTTTATTTCCTGAGTTGAAGACACTATGTAAAATTATGTAGGTACTTAGTACCTATCATAGTTTTTAGCCAGACCCATAAATATACTTAAAATCTAGACTTAACTAACATACCTAATTTGTGATACAATTTCATTTCCTAAATAAAATATAGAAATTATTATACGTACATATATAAGTGTAAGACTTCTTTTATTGATAAATTATTTTTTACAATGAGTTTTTTTTTGTGTAGGTGGCGCTAGCATGGATTTGTGAGTGCAAGTCTTTTTTGTATTGTCAACTTTTTTAAGTTAAAAGAGACCTTTGGATACCTTGTTAAAAAAATCAGATGGTACTACTGAATTTATCCAGTATGCCAATTTGAAAACAAAACAAAATTCTACCGTCTATTTGATATCATAACAATATTAAAAAAATAGTTTTTATCATTCATCAATATGAAATAAGAAAATACGTCATCCAGAAACCAAATAGTCTACAAATACGTATTTCATTTACATCAAAATGTCTTTAAAAACAATACCAGCGCCACCTACCCAACGCAAAAATTGAAATCGAACTATTTATCAACTTCTAAAACAGAACTATGTCGTTTATTACAACGTGTTTGGTATTTTAATACCTATAAAATCGATATTGTTATAAATATTTTGGTCCTTTCATTAAAAACTAAGAATACCGCTAATCATAGCCCATAATAACCTAAAGAATAACAATCCTAAGATTACACAGAAAGTATAATGTAGAAATTTAAGCCTGTGGTGTTTTTTAAGACCTTCTGGCACCGTTTCGACGGGATCCTTCAGTAAATACACCCTAACTCCTCGGATGTAATTGTAAAAATACTCGTTCCACTCCAAAGCACTCATGTCAAAGTCAAACAGGTATTTGTCGGCATCACATAACTCTTTGAACAGCTGTTGAGTGTTCGAATTGTCAAACTTCCATTCCCGAGTCGCGAAATAAGCCATCACTTCAGAGAATTTCGTTATCTTCTTGTATGCTTTTCTTAAACTGTAACGCAAAATAATATAGTTTAATATAACATAACATAACATCACGTCTTTTATCCCCGAAGGGGTAGGCAGAGGTGTATATTATGCCGCTGTTCAATGTAATACCTACTTTTCACTATTTATGTTATGAGTCCCATGTAATAGAGGGTGAGCCTATTGCCATATACCGGGCACAATTCCAGACTCCGTGCTACTACTGTGAATTTTTTGTAAAACCCAGTAATACTTTGCCCGACCCGGGAATCGAACCCGTGACCCCTTGCCCGGCAGTCGCACTTGCGACCACTCGGCCAATGAGGCAGTTTAATATATATCTACAAAATTGCAAAATTGTCACACGATGGTACCCTAGAGAAGGGAAAAGAAAAAGAGGTAAACTGCAGAAAAGGTGGGATGACTACATCAGGTATATAGCAGGAGTAACCTGGATTGGGTGGAACAAAATAGAAGGGAATGGAAAAGGTTGAAGGTCTTTGCCGACTGGCAAACAGACCTATAAAAATTATTAAATATTAGATTAGAATAGAAACCAGATTAGGATCAGTTAAAGCCACGAAAAGATAATAAACTAGGAAATAACAATTTGTAAAATTAGTCACTAAGTTGGTCTGAATAAAGGGCTTTTTATATTATTTTTGGAAGTCTCATAATTGGCGTACGTCAACAATTAAGTACCAAATTCACTTTTTGGCTCAACAATACGCAAAGAATGATCACATAATCCATTGTTTTATAATAACTATCGTAAGACATACTAAATCCATACTAATATATAATATATAATATTATAAATCGGAAAGTGAGTTTGTTTGTTTGTTCCACTTTCACGGCGTAACTACTAAACCGATTGCTTTGAATTTTTGCAGACGTAAAGTTAGAAGTCCGGATTAAAGAATAGGGTACTTTTTATTCCGGAAAAAAATGATATTCCCGAGGGAAAACAAAAGAATTGGTATAGATGGCGCTATGTGTATTGGTCTATGTCACATAGGCTACTTTTTATCGTATTGTGACGCGAGCGAAGCTGCGGGTAAAAGCTAGTAGACTAAAAATCGCGGGTTACTCACGTGAATATACTGAGAAAAGCTCTACTAGTTTCGAACCACAGAGGGGTTCTTCCTCATGAGTAGCGTGCGCGGTCGCGGTCAGGCTGCGCTCTGTGGATTAACTAGTAAAGCTTTTCCCATAATCCATTGTACAATTTAAAAAATACTCACATAGGTTTCTTTCCAATAATGACAGCGATGCCATCAATGATATAAGCAGGGATCCAGTGTAACAAGAAGCAGTACAAATTGTACAGAAACTTGGACGGAGTCAGGTGGAACAAGTAGTAGTATATCGCTTGAACGGTCGGCACTTGGAAACCGTAGACTTCGTTATAGTTCATGAATTTCTCTGAAAAATAGAATAGAGGTCGTTAGTTATTTATATTACGATTTTTTTTTATTTGCTAACTTGCGACTCGCCCCGGTTTCGCACGGGTTCAATATTCATGCATTATTATTTTTTAATTATACATATAAACCTTCCTTAACTCGTCGAGTACTGTATTTATAGACACAATTAAAGAACAATAGGTCGCGGTCACCGGTGACCGCTTGGTGTTTGACAGTTTAAGAATTACTTTATTTATTAAAAAAAAAAAACCGCATCAAATTCCGTTGCGTAGTTTTAAAGATCTAAGCATACATAGGGACAGACAGACGGCGGATAGCGAGTTTGTTTTATACTATGTAGTGATGGCCGTTTTTTAGCATCACGCTTAAACTGTCACTAAAGGGTAACTTAGCCTGACGTAGCATCTAAAGTAACTTCTTACTTGTACTTTTAGGTGTCACTTATAGGTTGGTGTAGACTACACATACATACATAACCTCATGCCTGTCGCCCATGGGGGTAGGTAAAGACTATGGAACGCCAATTGCTACGATTCCTTAGATACCTCTTTCGCTTCATCAATGAGGATTGTTAGGGATTCAGGAATTGGGGAGATTGGGGTAGAGGAGGGTAATTGGGCCTCCGGTAACCTCACTCACACGACGAAACACAACGCAAGCGTTGCTTCACGTCGGTTTTCTGTGAGGCCGTGGTATCACTCCGGTCGAGTCGGCCCATTCGTGCCCAAGCATGGCTCTCCTACACTTAAAAATAGGCTATTGATGTCATTTTTCCTAATTAATCTTATATTTAACTCACCCCAAGTCAAAGGCCTCTGTTCAGAAGATACGTAGTTATAGACAGGAGGGGTTAGGTCCGGAGGAGGAGCATCCTCATGGTTACTGGGATATTCCTTCGCCGTCTTCCAAGCTGTGGCTATGCAGGCGTTGACTACCATATCTCCTGGCACCAGGTCTGCTTTGACCTTGGGATTGCAGTTCAACACGTGGAGAAGACCCACAGCTGCTCCTACTACCACCTAAAAAGAATGGAATTTTCTTTATACTTCTTAGTGTTTGACCACTATCTCGCCTGGTGGTGCACGATGATGGCATCGAGCATTTCTTTCTTTATTTAAACAAGAGTTTATTTTTTATTTTTTTTTACTGTGTAGAAGCACTATTTTATATGGATTGTCAGTATACATATGTGAGGACCATGTCAGACTTAAGATATTTGTTTTCTCTTGGTTTTGTTTTTTTTTTATTTTAGTACGTTCTGTTATTTGTATGTTGCGTCAGGTATGTCTTTACATTATTCTCACATGTGTGTATCAGAGCAATATGTATCAGAGCAATGTAAAACAGACTTTTTTTAAAAGAGTAACGAATGGAGTTCCTTGCTCGTTCTTCTCCACTCGAATCGACATTTTGCCTAGCTTCACTGACGGACAGACTGACAGACTATTACTTATTTCATATTTGTTGACGTTTTAAAAGTACAAAATTATGGTTTAATTGAAATAAATGCTTTTGAGTTTGAGTTTGAGTTTGATGCGGTCTACGATGGAGCTCGCCTACATAAGCAATCTATTCACTCGGGACTTGAAGACACCTAGGTTATATATACCCTTCTAGAAAGACAGACTTTGGCAAGAAATTTCACTTCTACATGGTTCGCATATGGGAACTCGAAGTGTTTTTTTTAAATACATAACATAACATCACGCCTTTTATCTCCGAAGCTGCACATTATACTACTATACAATGTAACACCCACTTTTCACTATTTATGTTATGAGTCCCATGTAATAAATGTGCCTATTGTCATATGCCGGGCAAGTTTCCAGACTCCGTGCTACTACTGAGATTTTTACAAACACAGTAATACTTTGCCCGACCCGGGAATCGAACCATGAGGTAGTGTTTTTTTAGTTGAAGAAAATTATAGTATTTTTGAGGGTGAAATTTGTTAATAACTAGCGACCCGCCCCGGCTTTGCACGGATGCAATATGCATGTCATCATCATCATCAGCCTGTATTCGTCCACTGCTGGACATAGGCCTCTCCTATGGCACGCCACTGAGCTCGGTCTTCAGCTCTTCTCATCCAACCACTGCCAGCCACCTTACAGATGTCGTCACTCCACCTAGCTGGAGGGCGCCCTACACTGCGTTTGCCTAGACGCGGTCTCCACTCTAGAACACGTTTACCCCAACGGTTATCGGTTCTTCGACAAATGTGACCGGCCCACTGCCACTTCAGCTTACTGATCCTTTGGGCTATGTCGATAACTTTGGTTCTCTGTCGGATTACTTCGTTTCGGATTCGATCCTTCAGAGAGACTCCGAGCATAGCCCTCTCCATAGCTCGCTGCGCGACCTTAAATTGGTGGACCAGTCGCACTGTCAGTGTCCACGTCTCGGCTCCGTATGTCATTACTGGAAGGACGCACTCGTTGAAGACTTTTGTCTTCAGGCTTTGCGGTATCTGAGACGAGAAGACTTGATTAAGTTTTCTATATGCTGCCCAGCCAAGCTGTATCCTTCTACGGCCTCCTTTTCGAAGCTGTTCCTACCTAACTGCAGGGTTTGTCCCAGGTAGATGTATTCCTGAACGACTTCGAGAGGCGACCCGTTGAGAACAATTGTCTCCGGAATGACATGTTCATTGAACATTATTTTTGTTTTGTCCAAATTCATCCGGAGCCCAATGCGCGCGGAAGAATCAGCCAGGCTGCCAGCATATATTGCAAGTCCTGAACGGTTTCAGCCACGATGACGATATCATCTGCAAATCTCAAGTGTGAGAGATACTTGCCGTTTATGTTTATGCCCCGTCCTTTCCAATGCAGTGTCTTGAACATATCCTCCATAGCATTTGTGAACAATTTGGGGGATATAACATCTCCTTGTCTCACTCCTCGATGCAGGTGAATAGGTTCAGACTGCTGATTTTGTACTTGGACGGCCATAGTCGCAGCTTCGTACAGTTCTCTCAGCACTTGGATATATCGCCAGTCGACTTGGCACCGTTGTAAGGACTCCAGAACAGACCAGATCTCGATAGAGTCAAAGGCCTTCTCATAGTCCACGAACGCCAAGCATAGAGGCCGATTATACTCCTCGGTCTTCTGTATAATCTGCCTCATCGTGTGAATGTGGTCCATGGTGCCATATCCTCCTCGGAACCCGGCCTGCTCGGGAGGCTGAAACTCATCAAGCCTTCGTGCGAGACGATTCGTGATGACCCTGGAAAACAGCTTATAGATGTGGCTCAAAAGAGAAATAGGACGATAGTTCTTCAAAGGGTTTATCTCCTTTTTTGAAGAACATACCACAATGCTTCTGCTCCACACCCTAGGAGTTCTCCCCGTGAAGAGGACGGAATTAAATATACTTTGGAGCCGCTCGAGAATCGGTTTTCCCCCTGCCTTAAGGAGCTCCGTCGTAATTCCGTCCTCACCGGGGGCTTTTCCATTTTTAAGCTGCCCCAAAGCCACCACGATTTCGTCTTGGCTGACCTCTGGCAGCTCTTCAGTGAAGTGGCGGACAAGTGTGGCCCTGGGATCCCCCGAGTATGATTGAGGTTGGGGTGCTTGTGACGCATATAGATCACCGTAGAAGCGCTGAACTTCCGCATGTATTGTACATATAAACCTTCCTCTTGAATCACTTTATCTATTAAAAAACCGCATCAAATTCCGTTGCATAGTTTTAAAGATCTAAGTATACATAGGGACAGACAGACGGCGGATAGCGACTTTGTTTTATACCATGTACTGATACTTACACCGGTAGGTCCGTAAACATTGTCGATCCATCCAGACACGGGTTCCTTAGATGTTCCGATAACTGCAATAGAATATAACAGAACCATTGAAGCTATTTATTTTAGTGTAAAGCTAATCAAACCCGCGACACGTTGCGCGGCAGCCGGTTGCCCAGCCACCGCACCAACCGTGCCGTTAAGTACAGAATGTCACGGAATGCTGCTCATGAATATGAGCCTCTAGCATGGCTTGAAACTAGTCGAGTTCCTCGACAAACAGTTACGTGAGTAAGCCGAAAGCATAATAATTAAGATCCCTTTGTGTATGAAGCACATTAAGTTAAACTTAGTGGTGCACGAAATTCTATGGCTGTGGTTACAGCTAGTGAGATACCCGTAACTCTGAAAATGAATGATCTTTAACGAGGGTATTGAAGTTAATAAAAATCGCGGGTTACTCACGTGAATATACTGAGAAAAGCTCTGCCAGTTTCGAACAACAGAGGGGTTTAGTAGGCTGCGCGACATCGCCGCGACCGCGCACGCTGCTCATGAGGAAGAACCCTTCTGTGGTTCGAAACTAGGAACACATTTCTCAGTATATTCACGTGAGTAACCCGCAATTGTTAGATAATAGGGTATTATGGTAGGGTAGGATGGATATCATATCAGTTGCTTTGATAGTAATCGGTACCTATTGAAAGATGAAGACTACTTACCAATTGAAGGTCTGAATAGCGCAACTGGTAGACCCTTGGAGTATTCCTTGACGATATTCTCAGCTACCGCCTTCGTGTAAGCGTACGTGTTGGGGAAATCTCCTAATAGGCTGTAAAACAGTGAAAGTAAAATATTAAAAACAGTTTTTCTTAAGCAGTGGGATTTCAGTAGGATTTTTAAGCAGTCAGACGAGCGGTTGGCAAAACTCATTACTGAATGGAGCCCACTCAACGTCAATAGACGTCGCGGTAGACCCAGAAGGAGATGGCGGGATGAACTTAACGCCTATGAAAAATATTGGCCACACAAAGCTATAAGAAGAGAAAAACAGAAGGAGGGTAAGGAGGCCTTTGTTCTGCAGTGGGACGATCATGGCTGAAAATAAAATAAGTAGGATAAAAGAGTTATGTTATCAGTAGTATATTATTGGGCATTCTATACCACTATCGGCAAGTCGCTCGGCGAGTGCGCCTCGCTGCCGATAGTGGTATAGAACGCCCAATAATCGATACTCGACTCGACTCTCTACTCGACCGACGATCGTTCGAGTTATTCTCACTTTGGATAGTAGTATATGATTAGGCATTCTGGATCACTTTTCGCTCGGCGAAACAAGTTCGCCATCGCGGTGGTCCAGAATGCCCAATCGTCAACGGTCGACTCGAACAATGATATAAACGCGAAAGAGCACCTACTAATGAAACGGTCAACTCGGTTTTAGCTAGAGGTATGCGATGCATTTTTGTCATCGATCGGAATGTTATGTATCTCGGCTTTTTTCTAACACAATTTACAATCGCTTACAACGCGATGATAGTATAGAACGCAAAGTGTTCAAAAAGGTAAACGATGTTTATCGCTACCTATTTATATCGTAAAACGTACGATCTATTGTTGAACCGTGTTCTTACTCGACAGTGACATAGAATGTGTATGACTATTTATCGTCATAAATACAACTTTGCGATATTTAATTGAGTCTGTATCAGAGGTGTGATATGAAGTATGTGTAGTAATGTGTACCTAGTAATGTGTAGTAGGGAAATAAAAAAACATCAATTGAAATAAAACCATATTATTTATTTATCATAAAACATGGGTTTGTTGGGGAACAAAACATCTGCAGAACGGACAAACTCCTGCAGTTTCTGCCACTGAGGAGAGTCTAAGTCGGCCTGGAGTTTGATACGTACGATTGCCTTCTTCCACAGCTCCAGCGAGTCGGTGTTGCGCGCGTCGTTAGCTCGGTACACCTTGCAGTCGATGTAGTACTCGCCATGGGTGCTCGCTATTCGTCGCTCGCACCCGTTAGCCACTCGGTACACGAACAGCGACGACAGGCATGCTCGATCTGTTGATCCCTCTCCGACTTCCGCGCCTGTCTCGTGATCCTGGCTGATACCGAATATATCGCTATCACTCGTAGTTTTTTTACTGAAAAAACAAAACAAACTTTTGTTAATTTACTAATTACAAACCTGAAAATATAGACTAGAATTATTATTGGTATTCATTAGACTTATCGCTTAAATAATAATTCGTTAAGAAATACCTACATAATGCTGTCTAATTTTGTAAGTAGTAAAAGTAGCGATAACCATCATTAATCTCATGAGACAAACATAATGAAACATGTAAAACAATATGCAATTTACCTGGGACGGGTTGATTTTGATGTGCGTTTTCTATTGTTTTCTGTAGCCTTACGACCAGTTTTCGATTTCGGTTCAATAGTTGGTGGTGTTTGATAGTATGAACCCTCAGAATCGGACCTGAAACAAGATGTTGGTACAACCGTTAATATAAAATAAATTAATAAGTACGCCGGCCGTGGTGCTGGAGATTACAGTCAAACGAGGTTTTGAATATTATATACTTACATTTTTTCCTTGATTTGTTTTAACTTACTCAACTTCAAGTCGATAGCAGAGGTAGCAGGCACGATGATTTTCTTTAACTGCTGTTAGCGACGGCGGTTGACGACACTGACTGTACTGACTGAGTACAACCATTAACCGATCGCGGATCACGAGTGCGACTGAAGCCCGGAGTCGCAAGTTACTATTACTTAGTTCACTTGGAAGAATTGTAATGATCATAATGAATAATGCAGTGACTTATAAGGCTGGAAATGCCTAACATGAAAAGTAACTTAAATTCTTTAAGTTTCAACGTGTTGTGGAACGTTTTTGTTTAGTTGTATTATAGACGGTCAAAAATACAAACTAAGGTAAACTAAAGTAGAATCAATTGCTGATGCATCAAAAACACTTAGGGTTTACACAACGTTTTTTACAATTTTCATACAACGGTTATTATATAAGCAGCGCAGTGACAGCCCTGTATAAAATAGCTGATTAATGAAGTTGCATCGTTGCATGCACGTGTGCATATTTCGCAATGGTATCGGAAACGCTGAAAGTTGATCTATAGCGTTAGTATTATTACGAAACGTTGACGTTGTGGAATATTCCAGAAACAAAAAAAGTTTTATTTCTGTGGACAAATATTTCTTCTAAATATGTATCATTTCAAGTTGAATACTGAAATCACGAGCATTAAACAGGTAATTATTATTTAAATATTTCATTTTTGATAATAATATTATATTTATCGTCTCGTATATGATACTTATCGTCAATTTGTGATTTAAATATAATATTTTCACTTTTTTTTTCAGCTACACAAGAATCACAACTTACAATTATATAATTATGATCAGATTGAAGATTTATACGTAAGAAAAATATATCCAGCTACATAATTTAAAACTGATAACTGTGGACATTAAACATCGGGACTTAAACATAAGGATACATAATTCTTAGGTAAATATATTCAGAACCGTTAACTATAAGATTTTGTTAATTTATTAATCCAAGTACATGTCTAATAAATCTTTACATTTGTCTTTCCAGAATATGGATGTATACAATAAGTTCAAAACAGACAAAACCACAAATGAGGAACGGGAGCTACAACTGATCAAGATTTTCATTTATGGTGGTGATTCTAATGCAATTTTGAAGCTGTAAATCTATACGAAAGGTACATAATATATTTATGCAGAATATATTATATTATATACGATTTAATATCGATACTTATGTCTAAACGTTGAAATAACTATTAATCTTTGCCTATCAATACTAAGTGATTTGTGCATTCAATTACAATGCCTTACTGCACAGAGTGTCATGTATCTGTAGATAATCGTCTGTGGTCTGGTCATTTACGAAGTAATAAACATAAAAATAATAGCGTAGCTCCTTTTAGTAGTAATGTAAAAATAATTAAGTCATCATTCAAAGGACGTATTGTAAGTTATAGGATTATTGCAACTGAGGAGTTAGCCCATCAATTCCCAGAGAGATATTTATTACAAATCCGAGAACAAGTCAAAGATCTAATAGACCTGGCACTAAAAAGACATACATCTGTTAAAGTTAACTTTGAACTATTTTTGTTTTTTCTATTGTTCAAAAACGATCAGCAAGAAATTAAATCATTTGCTACAAAAAATTTTATTATTAATTTAAATTACGAATTCGATACAATTTACAAAACAGCAATTTCATTACTTCTTAAAAAAATAGAAGAGTTTCAAGAAAGAGATAGCGGCTGGTCATTTTTGAATAACTCCTATTTTGAAATAAATATTAATAAATATCAGCCTCTCAGTGGATCCAAATTTATTCCTTTACCAAATTTTATAAAAAATAAAAAAGCTTGCTTGAATATTAAGAACAACGATAACTATTGTTTTCTATGGTGTGTTGTGGCTGCCTTGTATCCTGCAACCAAACATGCTGATAGAGTTTCATCATATCCTCGTTTTAAAGATGTTTTAAATGTTAATGATTTGTCATTTCCTATCAAATTCACGGACATAGCCAATTTTGAAAAAAATAATCGCCATATAAATATTTATGTGTATGGTTTGAAAAATAATAAGACCGTTGTAGGACCATTATATAAAACTAATAATAAAAAATCTAGAAGCATCCACTTATTGTATTTAGAAAATGATACAAATTCCCATTACTGTCTTATTAAGAATTTACCCCGTTTAGTTCGAACTCAAATTTCTAAACATCATGGTAAATTATACTATTGTGAATCTTGTTTATTGTTTTTTTCTACGCTTAGTCAACTTGAAACACATCTGTGTGGAGGGGTTGTCACAATTTTGCCAGATAAGGGATCAGTACTAATGTTTAAAAATTTTCAAAGAAAACAAGACATTCCTTTCGTTATTTATGCCGATTTCGAAACACTGCTAGTACCTATTTCCAGCAATGAATTTGACACTGTTAATACAACATATAACCAGCGACACGTGCCAGCCGCTTTTGGTTATAACATAGTATCTTCTTTTAATGATAATGATAATAAAAGATATAGAAGTTATCGCGGTGAGGATTGTGTTGCAAAATTTATAGAGTTTCTTACTCAGGATGTAATTGAAATATATAAATTACTAACTAAGAATAATCCTATAATATTCACTGATAAAGATGTTAAGGATTTTAGGAATTCAATTAAGTGTACCATATGTGAAAACTTGTTGTTGTCTGACAGAGTGAGAGATCACTGTCCCATCACAGGCAAGTACCGCGGTGCAGCTCATCGACATTGTAACCTACAACATAGAGTACCTAAATTCATACCAATATTTTTTCATAACTTATCAGGATATGATTGTCATTTATTTGTGAAAAAATTAGGTGAAATACCTGGTCAAATAAAAATAATACCCAAGACCAAAGAAAAATATATATCATTTTCAAAGTTTATTCCCGTAGCAAATAATGAATACGTACAATTAAGATTTTTGGATTCTTTTAATTTTTTAGGAACCAGTTTAGACAGACTTGCTAAAACAATGCAGATAGAAGACTTTATTAATCTTAGATTACATTTTTCTGATAACAAACACTTTAGTTTGCTAACACGAAAAGGTATTTATCCATACGATTATATGACAAATTGGAAATGTTACGAACAACAGACGCTACCGTTAAAGTGTTACTTCCACAATTCTTTGACGAATGAAGACATTAGCGATGATGATTATAACCATGCTAAAACTGTCTGGAATTGTTTTAA